TAAATTTAGTGCTCAATGAAATGCAAGATAAGAAGGAAGATGTCATTGATAATGCAGAAAAATGTGTCACGAATGGAGATGATGACATTGTTATTGGTGGAGATCATGATGATGCTTATGGTGGAGGAAACAAGTTAAAAGGAAAACGTGCAGTAATTTCTAATGATGACGACTAAGGTGTTGTTTGTTAATGGGATTTGGAAGTTGGATTTGGTCCCCAAATACCAACCATCATGTTTTTGGGCAAATTCATTGTTTAATCCGCGGAGCCCACAGATTTGAACCATTTTTAGCTCCAAATCCATGAACCCTATGTATTTGCAAATACTACATTTAATTTGATATTTGGTTATGGAAGGCAAAATTTTGAGACCAAAATACAATATCAACTAAATCCATGATAAAAAAAATCAACTAAACAAACAATGTTATCTTTCAAATACAAAATGCAACAAATCCATCATAAATCTAAAGATTTTTAAAACTCAAAACCGTCATTTTCAAATCCAACAAGTAAACGAACCCTAAATAAAATTTGATTTGAGAATGTCTTTCGGAGTTCGTTCCCTTGCATGGAGTTTATCTTTCAATTTTGTAAAAGTATTATAGTCGATGAGTCATGAGAATGTCGCAAAACAATAGGATGTTGATCGTTTTGAATTGTTGAAGTATTTTAATAATTTAGACTTTCTTATTCTACCAATCAATTTAAATATTTTTGAGTATTTGAATAATTTAGATTTTCAAATATGACCAAAGAAACGTGTATCTCGCATACAAATTGCTACGATTGTTTACATGATTGGTGACTGAATCCGGCCAACTAGTCGGGCTCGTGACTAGTAACAAAAGAGAGTTATATACTTTTTAACATCAAAGAATACATTAACATAATACAATGAATATCGAGATTATCAATGTATAAGATCTGTACTACGGTCCTCTATTCCAATTTTAACAATCAATAACTGGGTTGCAACAAAAATTAATTAACTCTGTGGATAATGAACTGTATTCAAACATTTGGCATATGTAAGTTTTCAATGCCACAACCGTTAGGCCCATTGGTGAGCGGTATTTGGCTTTAGGCTCAGGGAGAAAGTACTGTCCAGTCCAATGGGAAGGCACAGGAGTAGTGCGGCAGCAGGCAGGGGTGGAGGGAGAGGCTTAAAAGGTGGGTCCTAGGACCCACCCTAACTCGGGAGGGAAAATGATATATTAGGTATAATAGTTAATCGGGTATGAAAAATAAAATGTATTTAAATGTGAATGGGTGGTCGTTCAAATATTTGATGTTTGATTTATAAGTTGTGTATTTACATATTCAATGTTTTATAACGAGTTTAGTACAAATGACAATGGTTCATATGATTCGCCCAAAATTAAAGATGTATTTATTCAATATCCGCAACAAATTTCCACCAAATCATAGCTAATTTGTAAAATTACTTTTATTTCAATAAAGGATAGGAACGGGTGGCTCCTGAGGACGAAAAATGAGTAAATTAGTATAATAGTTAATTGTGAATGAAATTTAGGGAACTTCTAATTGAGAATATTTGACCGAGTGATCATGTGTTCGAATCTTGGCGACCCTATTTATTAAACACATTATATTCGAGTTTGTAAAAAATGAAGCACGTTTAAGTTGGTTTTTGTTAGCGGTGAAGTGTTAGTAAATACTAACTAGTATAAGATCCATTATTAAATATTTCCCAACACTCGAGTTATTGATACTGATCATTCTTGACAAAGAACATCATTCAAAAGCAAATGTTTGACTAAATAATGAATTACTGTTTCATACATATTGAGTGATATTCTTGATAGTTTCGACATATGTTTAATTTACTAAGTGTTATAAATACAAAATTATATCAAGAATTATTTAAAAAGCTAACAAAACTATTTTATCGCATGCAATTGTTTTTTTTTAATGGACTCACCCTCGACTAAATCCTAGCTACGCCCTTGGCCGCAAGCAAGGGAGTATGTTATGCGGTCACCCTAGGGACCAGACAAGGCATAAACCGCCTGACATAAAGCACATCGACTGTGAAAAGGAAGAGAGATCTTCTAAGATATTTACCTCGAAAAAAGCAGGACTGAGCATTAATTACCTGCCAGAGCATTTAATGCTCTAAACTCCACATAACTGTGTATAAATACCCTCACACTAGCATTGATGGTAACTCAACTACTTGCTCTCTCTAACTACAACATATAATCGCACTTCTCTCTAACTTAAGCATTTGAAAGTATTGGACCGTATCGGACGTGTTGGGCCTATTAGCCCAATCCAAGTTTAGTCTATTGCACAGACTTGCCACTTGAGGGTTTTATACCCGAGTGTGTTTTGGTGATAGGGTATATAAGGCTTCTTTCATCTCTTGTAAACCCTAAGAACATAAGCGCCGCAGCAGCCATACTATCATAGTGAAGCTTCTTATTTGAGAGCCATGCTCTCCGTGGAGTAGTCCTAGCTATTTGCTGGGGAAACCACGTAATTCCTTGTGTCATCTATTTCCGCAATTCTCCGATTTTACATGGTATCAGAGCTGTGACGATCACAGCACTCCTTTAGTACATCATGGCGGGCACAGACGATGGGTCCAAACCGCAGATCAGTGACAAAGACCTCATGGGTGTGGCTGGCGTTGGCGATGATGAGATCCCGATCTCCTCGCCTTTGTACCTTCATCCGTCGGAAGACCCGGCGAGACTCTTCCTTGCAAGACCTCTTGTCTGACACGATTTATGGAGAGTGGGTCAATGATATGACTGAGACTCTCATATCCAAAAACAAGTTTGCCTTTGTGAATGGAGGGCTCCCGCGCGCGGCAGCTGGTTCGGTGGCCCGTTGTGATGCGTGGGATCGCTGCGATGCCACGGTCAAGGGCTGGTTAAAGACGGCCATGAGTAGGGACGTTCGGAACAGTGTACGTACTGCCACGACGGCCCGCGCCATATGTCTTGATTTACAGCAGCGCTTCGGTAAGGGTTCGGCTCAGCGAGCGTATGAGCTGCGGCGCACCATCGGTTTCTTGCATCAGGAGAAACTCAGTGTCTCTGCCTTCTATACACGGCTACGGGCTTTATGGGATGAGATGCAGATGATCAGCATCACGCCGCGTTGCACCTGCGCGGGCTGTACATGTGGTGGATGTCGGTGCGACCTCCCTAAGCAGCACCAAGACAAACTTGAGACTGAGCAACTTTTTGAGTTCCTGCTCGGGTTGGACGACTCATTCTCTGTCGTTCGCAGCCAGATCCTTAGCATGCGGCCTACCCCGACCTTGTCCGAGGCATATCAGTTGGTCCCGGCAGAGGAGCAACATCGACATATAACTAGCAGTCGAAAGCCCATGATCGAGACAGCTGCCTTTCAAACCCAATCGGACACCGATGCTTCCGCCGAGTCGGAGAAGCCGCGTTGTTCCCATTGCAACAAGCTGGGACATCATAAGGAAACATGCTATCGCCTCATCGGTTTTCCATCGGGGCATCCTCGCGCGAAGCAAGGTGAAGGTCGGAATGCTCCTCCGCGTCGCTCCAAAGCAGCTCACGTCGAGCCAGAAAATAGTGAGACTCATTCCATACCTGGACTCACTGCTGCCCAACTAGCTCAACTCAAGCAATTCCTCTCGGGTTCGGCCCCTGATGCGGTTTCTGAACCGACAGCGCATATGGCGGGTAATCCTTCTGCTCTTTATGATTGGTTAATCGATTCAGGTTGTAATGAGCACATCGTTAAGGATGCACGTTGGTTGAGTTCTCTGGATAGTACGAATAACTTCTCTAGAGTACAGATACCAGACGTGACAGGAATTTCAGTTCGAGGGGTTGGTTCTGTACAGTTGACATCTTCTCTTATTCTTAGCCGAGTGTTACATGTGCCCGATTTCAAGTGTAATTTGCTCTCTGTGAGTCGTTTAACCCATGATCATAATGTGGCTGTAACATTCATGCATGATTTCTGCATGCTTCAGGCCTTACCTTCCAGGACGCTGATTGGCGTCGGTAGACAGCAGGATGGACTTTACTACTTCCACCGTGTTCCCAGGCAGCCAACTCCTCAGGTGTGTAAGGTGGTTGGTCGAGCAGATGCAGTGGATTTGTGGCAAGCCCGAATGGGGCACCCCTCTTTTGATCGACTAGCATTGTTGAAGGATTTTGTGGATTGTGATTTTAGTTCTCGGCAAACCTCTCATTGTGATTCATGTTTGCGTGCTAAACAATCTCGCACTCTGTTTCCTCATAGCTCAATCAAAACTACTGGTTGTTTTTATCTCATCCATATTGACATCTGGGGGCCGTATAGCACTCCGTCTCTTGATGGGTCTCGTTATTTCCTCACTGTCGTTGATGATTTTAGTCGGGCGACGTGGATATATTTAATGCGGTTTAAGTCCGATGTTGAGCGCTATCTCAAGCTGTTTTGTGAGATGGCTTCTACTCAGTATAATCGGCTCGTCCGTCGTATCCAGGCTGATAACGGACTAGAATTTCAGACGAATTCTCTCCGTCATTATTACGAAGCCAAAGGCATCGTACTGCAGACTTCTTGCACAGATACTCCGCAACAGAACGGAGTTGTTGAGCGTAAGCATTGTCACCTCTTAGAGACCGCCCGAGCTCTTATGTTCCATGCTGGTCTGCCCGTCCGTTTCTGGGGAGAGTGCGTTCTTGCAGCTGCTTACTTGCTAAATCGCCTTCCCTCTCTAGTTCTCTCCATGAAAACACCTTTCGAGCTACTGCTGGGTGGTCCCCCGACTTACTCCCATATACGGAGCTTCGGCTGCCTCGTGTATGCCAAAGACACCCATCACGGCCTTGATAAGTTTGCCGACAGGGGGAGAGCTGGTGTTTTTATTGGGTATCCTAGTACACAGAAGGGTTATCGTATTTTTGACTTGAAGAAGCACAAAGTGATTGTCTCGCGCGATGTACACTTTGTTGAGGGCACCTTTCCTTTTCGCCAGCATGGTGAGCCTTCTAATATGGTGGCTGAGGGCGCTTTGGATGAGACTCATGGTACCTCTCCACGTCGCCCTCTCATTGGCATGCATGATCTTCCCATGCATCACGTGGAAGGTGCACGTCCTGGGGATGCCACTCCCATGGCCGACGATGACGCGTTTGATCACTTGAGCTCTACTGATCCTGCTGTCTCGGTGACTACGCTGCCCTCCACTTCTTCCTCCTAACCCGTGGATTCTAGCAACTCTCCACCGCCCATCAGTTCTCCTCCTCAAACTGATTCGGCTGATGGTGCTTTGGATGAGGGACATGTTGATCCTGGTCACCTCCATCCACTACCTTCCCCTCGGCGATATCCGACAAGGAACCGCAAGCCTCCTTACCGGCTCGACATCTATGAGGTAGAGTTCCCTGGTCCTTCTTCCCATCAGGTTCGGTTTCCCCTTTCCCACTATCTGAATTACCATCGCTTCTCCGCTAACTATTGTGCATTCTTGGCTGCCATGTCCTCCCTTGTTGAACCTCGCCATTTTTCTGAGGCTGTCAAATATGAGTGTTGGCGCGATGCTATGAAGAAGGAGATAGCGGCCCTCGAGGCCAATGGGACATGGAATATGGAACTGCTCCCGCCTGGCAAGCATGTCATCGATGCTAAGTGGGTATACAAGATTAAGTTCAAGCCCGATGGTTCGGTTGAGCGCTATAAAGCTCGCCTCGTTGCCAAGGGTTTTACTCAGCTCGAGGGCATTGACTTTCATGACACATTTGCTCCCGTCGCTAAGTTGGTAACTGTTCGAGTTCTGTTGGCTGTCGCCGCTCAGAAAGGTTGGCCGCTCCACCAACTTGATGTCAACAACGCTTTTTTTCATGGTGACTTGGAAGAGGAAGTTTATATGCGTGTGCCGCAGGGGTTTGCTAAAGACGGCGATCAACGTGTATGTCGCCTCCGGAAATCTCTCTATGGACTTCGACAGGCTTCCAGGAATTGGTACACCAAGTTTACCGAGTCCCTGATCGAGTTCGGATTCCCTGTTTCCAAGGCAGATCACTCTCTCTTTATTTACCAGGCGATCGGGGTGTTTGTAGTGGCTCTGATCTACGTTGATGACGTGGTTTTGACTGGTAATGATGCAGCAACTATCGCTCGTGTTAAGACTTTTCTCCATGATCGGTTCAGTATCAAGGACTTGGGGCCCCTCAAGTATTTCCTGGGTATCGAAGTTGCCTGGTCACCGAAGGGTATTGTTCTTTGCCAACGCAAATATACCCTTGATATCTTGGTGGACTCTGGCCTGGAGGCTGCTCGTCCCAGTGGGTTTCCTATGGAGCAAAATCATACGCTCACGCGTCCCTCTGCTGATCGTGCCACTGATGTGAGCTCCTATCGGCGTCTGGTTGGGCGTTTGTTGTACTTGACTATTACTCGGCCCGACATTGCATACGCAGTCAATGTTCTTAGCCAATTTGTGCATGCCCCTAGCCCGGACCATGTTGCCGCCACCCACTGCGTTCTTCGTTACCTCAAAAGTGCTCCAGGGCAGGTCTTGTTTCTTCCGGCCACCGGCAGTTTAGAGCTCACTGCCTACTGCGATGCCGATTGGGGCGGTTGTCAATCTACTCGAAGGTCTGTGACAGGCTAAGGTGGTGCTCCGGTCTCTTGGCGTGCTAAGAAACAACGCGTGGTTGCTCGTTCCTCTGCTGAAGCTGAATACCGCGTCATGGCTAGTGCTACCAGTGAGGTTTTATGGCTTCGGTTTCTTCTCAGTGAGTTGCAGGTTCCCCAGAGTCTTCCTACTGTTCTCTACTGTGACAATCAGGCGGCTCTCCACATTGCTGCCAACCCCGTTTTCCACGAGCGTACTAAACATGTGGAAATGGATTGCTATTTTGTTCGTGAACGTGTAGCTTCTGGTGATATTCAGCCACGGAAGGTGGACACACGCTCACAGCTAGCTGACATCTTCACTAAAGCCCTGGGAACGGAACAGTTTCATGCCTTGTTATCCAAGCTTGGCATTTGTGACCTTCATGCTCCAGCTTGAGGGGGAGTATTGGACCGTATCGGACGTGTTGGGCCTATTAGCCCAATCCAAGTTTAGTCTATTGTACTGACTTGCCACTTGAGGGTTTTATACCCGAGTGTGTTTTGGTGATAGGGTATATAAGGCTTCCTTCATCTCTTGTAAACCCTAAGAACATAAGCGCCGCAGCAGCCATACTATCATAGTGAATCTTCTTATTTGAGAGCCATGCTCTCCGTGGAGTAGTCCTAGCTATTTGCTGGGGAAACCACGTAATTCCTTGTGTCATCTATTTCCGCAATTCTCCGATTTTACAGAGAGTGTCCTGGGCAACTGCCCACCGGGCCCTTATTTTGCAGGATTTAGGAGAGCCTCCCGTCATAAGAACAAATGCCTCACTCGTGATCCATCAAAGCGTCTAGTACATTCTAGGCTCAAACAACAGCTAAGCAAGCACATTCACAGCTGATATTTCAGTCATTATTGTTGTTCTTTGGACATACATTTTCTTGTCAAGGTTTGAAGCTCTATATATAGCATGTTGTAGTCTATTGTAATAGTTTCATCGTTAAACAATTAATTCAGCTTGAGAAAAGAGGAAACCGAGGAAAGTTTGAAGAAGTTTGATCCTGAAAAACCTATGACAAGTTATCTTTCTGATTAAAATTTACATATATGCTGTCAATAAATCATTCAAAGAATTTTTTAAGAAATGTCATCTCTTAAACCGACCTATTTTATTAATATCCACCACTCGAAGCCCCTGACTCACAATTAACGTTTGAATAAAGTCTTTTGTTAACACGTACATGAGAGCTTAAAGCTTCACTTGTAAAATCATAAGAAATTGATAAAAAAAAATTAATCAAACAAATCCTGATAGATCTATTTAAAAAACTAACTATTTTGTGATCAAGATCAATCAATTGAACACTAAAAAAATTAACATGTACTCAAATTAAACCAAAGAAATATTAAAAGAGCATGGCAAAAAAATCATTTAGACAATCATCAAAATTAACTACTTGACTTCAGCTTTTAGTGTGTCAAAATCAATTTGGATAATGATCCGAATCAGAGAGATTGTTCTACAGTTAACTTAAAGCCAATAGTTATATAATCTATAAAAGAACCGTTTAATATAATAGATAATAGTATAAGTTATAGTTTAAAAATGTTATGAATATTATCCTAAAAGAATAATAAGAATAATAATAATATCAACAACAAAGCATTATACATGCCAATCTCTTTCTCACTTTTATGGTCCACCCACTTTATTGCTTTCTTTTCTGGGGAATTCTGTGGTGCAATGACTGGGGAACAGATCATATCATTAATGATGGGTCAGTAACCCATTAGTAACTCCTTCTCTGATCTCCACGTGTCAGACCCTTTTTTTTATTTAAATTAAATGCGGAAGGGCAGGAAGGTAAAATTGTACTTACTCCTATTTATTGCTGACGCAGACTTTTGACCGGACCATATCAGCGCCTCCTTCTCTCTCCTCGAAAAATCTTTAATTTTTCTTCTCTTAATCTTTAACGGACGGTTTTTCAATCGTTTTAAGTCGGCATTTAATTTTATTTGCACAGTTAGATCAGATTAATTGTGCTCTTCAAAATGATATCCACTTTGATATTTTTTGGACATAAAATTTTTTTCCAGTTATTACTAGTCTATTCCATATGGTATTTACTGGTATTAAATAAGACCATACCACATGGTATGGTAATATCAATATATATTTCGTTACCACCCAATACCATATGGTATAGTGTGATAATATCAATATATATTTCGTTACCACCCAATACCATATGGTATAGTGTGGTAATATCAATATATATTTCGTTACCACCCAATACCATATGGTATAGTGTGGTAATATCACACAATACCATATGGTATAGAGTGGTAATATCAATATATATTTCATTACCACGCAATACCATACATTACCATTGGGTATAGTGTGGTAATATCAATATATATTTCGTTACCACCCAATACCATATGGTATTGTGTGATAACGAATATATATTTCGTTACCATCCTATACCATATGGTATAGTGTGGTAATATCACACAATACCATATGGTATAGAATGGTAATATCAATATATATTTCGTTACCACGCAATACCATACATTACCATAGGGTATAGTGTGGTAATATCCATATATATTTCATTACCACCCAATACCATATGATATAGAGTCATAATATCAATATATATTATCTAAAAGGAAAAAAATAGAAGGAGGGAGAGAAAAAATCGTCTTCTGATGCCTCTCATTTCCTCTTCCTCAATCAAGAACACCAAAATGCCAAAAAAAAAAAAGAGAAAGATCGGAATTGAGGCCAACGAGTTGATGAAGAGAACAAAAGCAATGAAAGACAGTGGCTACAATTTTTAATCGTCCATTACTAGAGAAAAAAAATGAAGAAGGAAGAGAGCAGATCTAGATTTGAAAAGGAGATTGTGAGAGAAGAAGTAAGAGAAAGGATCTGGAAAGAGATTGAAAAAAGGAAAAGAGAAGGAAGAAAGTTGAGTTGCAGAGAAAAGGCAATTCTCTCTCTTTCATTGAAAAGTCAGCCATTGAAATGCGGAATAAAAAAAAATTAAAAATACAAAAACGGACAAAAATGCCCCTCCCCACCCCGCATCCGGCCCAGCCACACGATTGCTCCATCCCCAGATCTACGGCTCCCGTGTGGTTACTGATAGGTCAGTAACCAGTGGTTACTGACCCTATATTGGACCCAATGACTGCACCAGTGCCATCTAATTATACTAGCCGGTTCCAGTAATATAATTCTGATTTTTAATGGTTAATCACGGAAGGTTGATTTATGATTTTGGGTTGATCGCGTTTAGCTAGTAAATTAATAACAAAATGAATTGAAAAGTTACAAAAGCAAAAAACGGTGGGCCAGGGTTACGTGGCCTCCTTCGCTCCGTCATTTTTTTCCTCTCTCGTGAAAAGGAAGCCGACTCTGTCGATTCTCACAGGAATAACTACCAATATCATTGTCGTTAAGCGTCTTTGAGCTAGCTGACTATAAGTTTATAACCACCAATATCTCGACTATGAAACCTCTAGTCAATTGAAATCACCTCACCTTGGAATCCCAAACCCCGATTATCCCCTTGTCTCCCCTATTCATTGATAGCATCATCTCTGCGCGGCAACAATCCACC